AGTGTTACTAAATAATTATTTCAGTTTTTTTGAATTTTGGTCAAATATGGTCAAACTATGGTCAAACTACTTATTCAAGAAATATTAGTGTTACTAAATAATTATTTTAGCTTTTTTGAATTTTGGTCAAATCTGGTTAAACTGTGGTCAAACTAGGGTCAAATTGTGGTCAAACTACTTATTCAAGAAATATTAGTGTTACTAAATAATTATTGTTTTTTAGAACAATAGTTTCAAACTCAAACAGTGAAATGTGTGACTTCATGCTCAAGCTAAATTCCCGAGGGTTAATAGGATTGACATCTTACTATTGTCAGGAAAACAACAAGTGCAGACTTGGAAACGAGGGAGAATAGAACCCGGAAGTTAAGCGTGCTTAGGCTGGAGTAGTGAGAGGATGGGTGACCGTTCGGGAAGTTAGATGATTTGGAATGATGAGGGGTGATTAGAGATTAGAGGTTAAAATAATTCAAAAATTTGAAAATAAAAAAAATTCAAAAAAAATCATAAATTTCCTTTAGTACCGATTGGTGTTACCAAGCGAGACTTCAGGGACTACCATTGGGCAGCCTCTTCTTCTCCATGGTGCTCCAGCAACTGCACAAAGAGGTCAGTTATCTCGATCGGTGCCCCACAACTCAGGCCGGAGATGATGGAAGGATCTGCACAAGAGGACATGTCTCTGGACAGCCGCCAAGTGTTCTCCGTGCTATGCTACTACATGAATCGCCTCCTGGCCAGGTAACAGTTTCACTATAAATCTGAAATGCATAAGGAGCACCAAGCATAAGACATTAGGGATGATTAGGGTTGGTTTGTTCCGTGTTAAGAAAGTAAGGTTTTTCTTTTGGCTTGGCATAGGTTTCTCATGTGGTTTTATCTGCCCAAACAGGGCGATCAAATTGTGAATTGAGATCACTCCTCCAAGAAGAGAAGAAACTAAATTTCATGTGTCCAAAATCAAATGCTAGCTCTTGAGTTATTCTCTACCAGTCTGCATATCCACTCCTTTGTACTCCCTCCGTCCGAAAATACTTGTCGGAGAAATGGATGAATCTAGACGTATTTTAGCTATAGATACATCTAGTTTTATCCATCTCTCCGACAAGTATTTCAGGACGGAGGGAGTATGTTCTAATGCACCATGGTTATCACTTAGTTGAACTTGCTATTTTAGTGATATAATTTTTTCAATATAACTTTGTTTATCAAGCTGATCAAATTTCTCTTTTTTATTGCACTTCTTCTCTTTTTTCTAAAGAACTTAACTAACATAATTTGATTGTCCGTTCTTCAAGTTTTGAGCATAATTGGGTTCTGACTGTGAGAGTATCATTTACAATGTAAAAGGAGGTACCACACACAACTAGAAATATACAGCGAATTCGCTCAGTCTGTGTCACACGACATCCATCCCATCGGTCACGATAGTCACAAGACTACCCCGCAGATGGATGTTGCAGCCAGTGGCCATGACGAGGCTTATGCCTGTGTGGAGGTGCAGTCCCGGATGCTGAGAGAAAATGTTACCCACCCGGCTACAAGGATAACTAGGAGGAGGAAGAACCGAGCCACATGGGTAACTCGAAGGGAAAAAAATCTGTGGCGCCACCGTCCATTTTCTCATGCCTCCCCTTCTACATATACACAACCACTGCCCTTGCTGCTTCTCAACTCCACCTTTGTCCTTGCACCATCGGCATTGACGCAGTCGTCCATCTGCATGCCGCATCAGCGAAGAAGTAGGCACATCAACTATGTGCTGATGCCCAGTTTGCATCTAGGCATCATGTATGTTGCTTTGTTTCTCCTGTACTACTGCTGGCACAATTATTTCTGTTTACTTTGTCATTTTTTTTGCTTACTATTGGATCTTAGTCTGGATTGTGCACCCTGATTCCACCTAGGTTTTTTTTCATGTGATTTGGTTTGGTGGATTTGGACCAAGGATTTGGTTGCTGCTAAAATTAGAATGCTTGGGAGATTCATGGAGCAACAAACATGACATGATCAAATCAAACCATTTAATTGGAGACAAGGATTGCTGAGTACACCGGATTGAAATTTTGGCCTTCAGTACTATTGATGTGTGTCTTTTTTCAATTTCCAGTGTTTAAATTTGTTATGTTGTGCTATCTGGTAGAATCTAGAATGTGAGCAGTTGGGCACTGATAATAGGAACAGGAATGGTTCTGCCGATGAAGCATTTTTATATTTGTTTTGATACCATGTAATGTAAGCGCAGTTTCAGATTGAAGAATGTTATTCTAAGAGGCTATATGGTCTAATGATATGTCCAATAACTTCATACCGTGTGCTTAGGGTGTGAGTAAGAAGCATAACTGTGTACATATAGGCAAATCTTTCTACAACTTGGCAATAAAATAGTGGTACGTCATATTATTATTTCATTTTTCTTTTTTCTCTTGCATTATAATGTGGAATAAAGATACTTAGGTTCGCTCTATATCTTTTTTCTTACATTATGATTTCAAATGAACATTCCCTTGGTTCTTAAGATCATTAGATGAATGGTTCTTTACACTGTATGTGCCTTTTATTCCTAGAATCATCTTTCCCTTGCATAGTATTTCAGAACAAAGAGTGTTTACAATTTCTTGGCACTCTTTCCAAATGGATCATCCTGTCATTTATAATTTTCTTATTCCGGGTCATGAGAGTAGGGCATTGCTGCAACCTATTGACGTGTACAAATTATATCATAAGATACCCTTATGATGCATCTTTAGTTCAGTACTTTCATCACTATCTTTCTTGTTCATCAGATTGAACGAGGATGCTACAGATTTAAGTGTTGCTGATTGATATATATCCATTGAGCCAACTAAAACTGTGATTGATTCCATAGCTGCTGCCATGTCAAGAACAATTTATACTCATCTTTGCATAGTTTTTACATAGTTTAGTTTCTAATGTACACAACCAAGTTCGGCTTCAATTTTCAGGCTGCTTACAAAATGGTATTTGCATTGTCTTGGCCTGTTTATCTATACGCTTCTATTGTCCTCTTCTGCATCACTAACACCGCAGTTTGGTCAAGGACGCACACAAATCCCTCTTTATCTAACTTCAGAACCAGCTGAACATCCTCAGTATAGGCATAGCACCTCTACTCCAAACTCAACTTGAATACATCCTTTTCCACCACCCACATGAACCGCCGACTTCTTTTGCACATAACGACGACTCTGTTCAGGTTTGTACTATTTTCCACATTTAAATTTACATTATATAGCTTGTTATAAAGATTTCTGCTACGAGTCTAATTGTCTTGTCATGATCCCAACAGAGCAATCAGTTCACTAATTTTGTTCAGAGTTGCATAATGCACACGCCGACTACTTCGTGTAGTTTATATTGCTGATGGATGTGTGCCTTTTCCTTTTTGAGCTCTGTATGTCATTCCCGACAAGTATAGAAGATAATAGTCATGTAAAATGATCAGTATTTCATTTGCACAAAATGTTTCAGAAGTTAGAGTATTTCACTAAAAATAAGAATTTAACTCTTTCATCTTTCTATATATTTAGTAGCTTTCTATCATTCTATTGGAAAAATGGACGGGCGCAACAACGTGCGCCCTCAATGATCTAGTGTGTACTATAATGACACAACAAAGACTCAATAATTGATATCATTGAAGGTTTCATTTCAAAGAACACAAAAAGAATGATGATGTTCAAATAAACATTACGCAACTTGGAGTTAAATACGTATGATTCTTAATATATTCAATTGTTATGTAAAATATTATGTCATACACATTAGAATTGTTTATTAGTTTTTTGTGTGTGTGAGATAGGGCCCTGTTTTAGAGTTTCGCACAGGCCCCAGGATTTTGTCTGCCTGGCCCTGTTTAGTGGATCTACTCGGATCCAGTTTGCGTTCGTCTATGTTCGTGTATCTTTAGGTTGGATGCTTCCGATCTATCTGTCTCTTTATTGGCGGCGGCTGCTGTTCTGATGTGCTGGTCCTACGAGGCTTTAGCACATTGACTTCCCGACTGTCTACTACAACAAGTTTTGCCCAGCTCCGGCGAGAGAGGGGTGATAACGGCTGTGCGCCTTCGGCTCGCTTCAGTGCTTCTAGTCGTCGCTCGGTGATCTACGGATATGTATGTACTTTTTATTATTTTTGGTTTTCGTTGCACTGCCATGATTGAAGATGAATAAATTTAAAAAGTTTTCTCGAGAAAAAAACATAGACTACCCCCGCAAAAGAAATACATGGACTAGACAATATTTTTGAACATGTGCCCTCGTCAGCAAAAACCGCAAAGGAAATACTACGATGGCATATGCGTCTTGGGCTCGGCTCGTAGTTGTATCGTGCACGGAGGGAACTCGTCGTCGAAATATCATCTTGAAATTTACAAAGTCATCGTAGGCACCTCGTCGTCGACAGGAACGTCTCCTCCCACTGAATGTGCATCGCCGGAAATCCTGAAATAAAATCCAGAAATAAATGCAAGCACCAGAATTTGAACCCTGGTGGGCTAGGGATACCACAATCCCTCTAACCATCCAACCACAGGTTGGTTCGCCTCGGCTCGTAGTTGTATCGTGCACGGAGGGAACTCAGCCCGGAAACTGAGAGATTCGTTCAGACAACCAACTAGTCCAAAATCTCAAAAAAAAAAAAGGCAACCAACTAGTCAATCGCTCGAACGCACGGAACAGGCCCGAAACTAAAAGCGTGATCCACACGCCCGTGCCCGCCGGGCCCCGAAAAGTAAACCGCCCGCGCGCGCATGCATGTGCATCATGGCGTACCACCATTACTACTACTCTACTTAGAGTATAGTACTCCTACGACGTATCGCGGAGGCGATCGTGCCCGTGTCAAACAGCCGCGGCGCCTCTCCTCTCCTCTCTCCTCTTCTCGGTTTTCTCCTCCTCGTTCGGGAGGCGGAAAGGGGGCGGACGGAGGAGGGATCGATCGTCCCGTCCCTCGTTCTCGTTGGGTGATCGCGGGCGGCCATGGGAAAGAAAATCCAGTACGCGGTGGTGGCGCGGGGCGCCGTGGTGCTGGCGGAGCACGGCGCGGGGGGCACCACCACCAACGCGGGCGCCGTCGCGCGGCAGATCCTCGAGCGCCTCCACGCCGCCGGCGGAGGTGCCGCCGCCGACTGCCGCGTCTCCTACACCCAGGGCCTCTACGTCTTCCACGTCATGCGCGCCGACGGCCTCACCGCGCTCTGCATGACCGACGACGACGCCACCGCCGCGTCAGGACGTAAGTCACCGTACTACTAGTACATTACAACCATCATCGCCATGGATATATTGATTGATGGAATTCATCGATCACCATCCTCTTCCTCCGGCCCATTAATTTTCAAAAAATGCATCGCCGCCTACCTATGGTGAATTGAATTCGTGCGAAGTGTAGATGAGCCGGCCGGAATAATTCCCGTGTGGACGAGGCACCTCATCTTCTTCGATAATTAAGTCTCGCGGCCGGATCTGGGGCGGGTTTTGTGGATGTGATTGCAACAACAACAGATCGACAAGCCATGTGGTGGACACATGTGTGGGTGGAGTGCTAAGGCTGTCCGTACTGATTAGTATCATGTATATGATATTATTATATCTGTAATGCATATAGTATCATCATAGATTAATAGTATTTCACATGAATATATTACTGTCACGCAAGACACATAGTAACACATGCAAGAAAACGTGCCCGACGGCCTTCGGGGACAAAACTGCACATCCGCCATGGAAAACAGGGCAAACCCCCGACGTGGCATTGATGCGGCTACGAAGGGCGACATGGACCAAAAACATGTCCGACGGGGACACGGACAAAAAATGCAATATTTATTATGATACAAGTATCATGATATGATACTCAATACTCCCTTTCTTAACTTAATTTTATGACAACTCATTAAAATGGTCTAGTTGGCATGCGTGATAAGCTATGATACTACCATTACGAGAGCCTAATGCGGAGATTGATCCATTGGGTTTGCAACTTGTTTGATCATGCTAATTATTAATTGCCAAATTCCCACCTATTTTACATTGCATTCTACGTCCAGCATTGGGACTAATAAACACTTCATTTATCACTTGACCAAAAGATGATGTGGTATCACTTGCTATTTGGCACTGAAATTTCAACGGATGGTGCAAAAAAGATTAATTCCTAGTCGACTTGGTCTGGATGATAACTATATTCTCATTTCGTGATGTTAACATTGATAGCAATAATAATCCATCATTCTTTGCAAGAACTTTTTGTTGATAACTCTACCTTCCTCTATGTTGCAGGACGGATTCCCTTCGCGTTTCTTGAAGACATCCATGGAAAGTTTGTCAAGACGTATGGTCGTGCAGCTCTCACGGCTCTTGCTTACGCGATGAACGACGAGTTCTCGAGGGTTTTGAGCAAGCAAATGGACTACTATTCAAACGACCCCAACGCCGATTGCATAACCCGCATGAAGGGTGAAATGGATCAGGTATCGCCTTATGTTGTTTCTCTTATATATCCTTCCCTTTCAGCAAATACAATCTTTAGCGCAATTTAATTGTGTGATCCTCATCTTATGTAACAAGAGAGCCCATGCTCACTTACGGTTAGTTGATAAGGATGTGAAATTTATGGAATTACTGTGAACCCTGTTACATTCCTTACTCTTACTCTGGACTTCAGTAGCCCCAAATATTTCTCTCGTAATTCAGCGGCTGTTTGTTGAGTTGTTGTTCCCTTGCAGGTGAGGAGTATTATGATTGATAACATCGACAAGGTGCTCGAGAGAGGCGATCGTCTGGAGATGTTAGTCGACAAGACCACAACTATGCAAGGAAACACGATGCGGTTCAAGCGGCAAGCTCGCCGTTTCAGGAACACTGTGTGGTGGAGAAATGTGAAGCTCACGTAAACAAATATCCTTTGTACTACTAGTTTTTGGTCGTACGCTTCAATTATAAACTTGAGTTTTCAAGTTCTCGCTTCCATTATTAATTTTCAATGAGTTTATATATACACACTAAAACTAATTAAATGCATACTACTTCCTTCATTTCTAAATATAAGACTTTTTACAGATTCCAATACGAACTATATATGGATGTATATAGACATATTTTAAAGTGTAAATTCAACCATTTTGATTCATATGTAGTTTGTAATGGATTCTCTAAAAAGGGTTATATTTAGAAACGGAGGGAGTAATAACAATTAAATGGGCATAGTTGTCGCGCGACTCCAAACTTGTGCCTCTTGAGATTAATTAAAGAGGCGACCCCCAAAGATTAAAATTCCTGCAGATAGCTAATCCCTCCGTTAATAGCACATGGTATTTTAAAGTCTCGGCGCGCAACATTGACTAGAGCCTTTGAATGTCAGTAAAAAAAGTAGATCATTGTATTGAGAAAACGTTTTTCATTAACAATCCAATGTCGCTGTTTTTACTTAAACAGTCTAGTCACTTTTTTTTGCATCTAGTTACTAGAGGCGCCGAATCTGTGGCAGGGAGAACGCGCGTGCTCAAAGAATTTCTTCTTAGATGCTTCTCTTACCAATGAGCAACAATTTTACCTTCAGCAGTAAAATTTTACTCTTGTTAGCTTGTTCGTTTGTGTTGCAGAGCCGCGGTGATCCTCATCCTACTGGCGATCATATACATTGTGCTGGCCTACATGTGCCACGGCTTCACCCTGCCCTCCTGCGTCCGCTAATAAACCTTCTCTGTGTCCATACGAGGCTCTGATCTGTTCCAGGTTTTCCCTGTAAGAGCATGTAGCTCCATTGCTGCAGCTTTCTCTCTTGTATAAAGTGGAAATGATTTGATTGATTGCACCGGGCGATTGTTTTGCTCTTGTTGGACTCCAACTCTCCAGACATCGTGAAACAGAGGACCTATACATTTCCTGCACGTACGATGGGGGTCAAGGGGTCGGTTTTCCTGGTTGATGATTTTTTTCTTGTCATGAGCGAAAGAGTTTTTAATTGTATAAGTTAAGAACGCAAAGTGGCTGGCTGGAGGTAAACTGCCCTCACCGCTTGCCACGTGCCTTGGCACCAATGTCCACCACGACTTTCTTAGGCTGGTCGTAATGAGAGTATCATAAGCGGTATATGTATGTCAACTATTTTTTTTCGAAGATATGAAACACAATTAAATAAGAAAAGAGATGATGTGGTATCTTATTATGATACCGTATCATATTAAATGTTGTACTACTTTGTGTCATGCATGACAATTAATAAGTAAACCTAAGATATTAATTTATGATACTATGCATTACAGAAATAATATTATACACTAGTATCATATGTATGATACTAGTATATGACTCACCCCATTAAGACCAGCCTTATCCAACGGGGAGTGTCGCTCCATCACCCATTTTCTCCATCCCATCTTCTTCTTTCTTGCTCCGCGCATTGTGCATGGCCTGGCGACCCACTCCGCTGCTTGTTGCTCCACCGTTGCATGTTGCAGCAAGACTTACAGCCACCGGGGCTACTTCCCATCCTGGCCGCCGACGCTGCTTCTCATCCCGGGCACCGGTGTTGCAAAGCCAGAGGGATGCCTCCTCGTGGATCTCGCCATGGCGGCCAAGCTACGGCAGGAGTGTCGACAAGCTGCTGCCAAGGCCGGCGGTGGAGCTGTGTTGCAGCATGATGCTACAATGACACTTCTGTCACGCCGACGGTGGCGCTGCATTGCAGCAGGAGGCGACGGGCTGCTGCCATGGCCAGCGGCGGAGCTGGGTTGCACCATGCGACGATATGACGGCGTTGTTGCCACGCCGATGACGGAGTTGCGTTGCAGCAGGAGTGGCGAGGAGCTGCTGCCATGTCTGATGATGGAGCTGCGTTGGAGCACGTGATGCTGCGACGACACTGCTGCCATGGCGGACGGTGGAGCTGCGTTGCAACAGGAAGAGGCAATGAGTTGCTGCCATGGCCGACGGCGGAGCTGTGTTGCAGCACGCGATGCCACGACAACGCAACCATTGGTTGCTGGAAGCCGATGTGCAAGGCGTCGTCGGAGCTGTGAGTTGATGTTGCCATGGGCATCACCGGAGCTACGGTGGTCTTGCGTGCGGGAGTATGAGGCGAGGGATGTGCTGCTCAAGGAGAACGAATCAGACACCTGTAATCTGTGATCGGACGGTTCCAGTGGCGGTTTAAAACTGGCTCAAATCATCCAGTTGATTTGTAGCGCTCGCTTATACAAAATCCTTTTGCATCGTAAAGAAAAGGGAGAGGCGATAGAGTGCTGCTCTTGGCGGTATCTCTCAGACCAGCTGCTCTGGGCCGGGCTTTCTTGCCCTCTGTGTTAATCAGCCCAGGTAGCATGCCCATGTACGGGCCATTTGTCGCTTGCTCGCCCGCCGAGTCGCCGCTCGGCTGGGCTTGCGCCGTAACATTTAGTAGAGTTTACAGGTGGAGAGAGTGGTTTACAAGGGCAACTCCGTAGTGCATTTGCTCTGCGCGTGTTCATTCGGATCCAAATACGCGGCTGCAAAGCCAAATCTCGTCCGCTTGTTGTCTATGTGGACAGATTTTTCCAAATTTGCGATTGAATTGTGTCCATACAGATGTGCGTCCTCCCCACGGTTATAGTCGATGCCGTCACCTACCTCGGCTCCACATGACAGCATCCAGAGTTTACACATCTTTTTAAATAGCAAGCGTGCGGGGGCGGTTTCATCCACTTCTCTTCCCAACTCCGGTGCACATCTTGCCGCGCATGCTCTCTCACCGTCTGACACAAACCCTAGTTGCCATGGGGTTCTTCAACAAGGGAAAGGGCAAGGCCAAGCACGACGACAAGGCGGGCTCATCACGTGGGCCGGCTAGCTTCACTTTGTTGCCATGGGGAGGGCTAGCCGACCACGCGACTGACTGTACACCCCCATGCACCGTGTGTAGTGCCACTGGAGTACCGCGTCCCGCTGCCGTGGTCGGATACCAACCTCCCGCATAGCTGCCTGGCACCTCGACCCCCACCGCATTCCGCTGCCGGCCATGACACAGTTCGAGCAGGCGCGTGTGGAGGAGATCCGCAAGCGGTGTGCTCTCCTCACGACAGAGTAGCGCCACGACCCGGCGTATGCGCCAGACTCCCCGAACTAGGATGTGTGGTTCGCCACCGAGCATGACGTGCGCCACCGCGGCATCGTCCAGATCGACACCTGCCCTCCACCTTCGACATGGGTGGTGAGGCAAGAGAACACGGAGGTTGATGCCGCGTACCATGCGACATTGCAAGAGACCTTGGAGCGCACTATCGAGGAGTCGTAGCGCGAGGAAGATGTCTGTTGGCCTGGCCGTAAGGAGGCGCTCCAGCTGTCGGCGGCCGGCGATTTCGTTTACCACCACCACTAGCTCATTCACAGATTGCAACAATGTATTCCCCCTTGGTTTGTATCATACGAGAGGGGCTGCGCGACACCCAATGATTTTCCCAAATATTAATCAATTCCCCTATTCCAACACGCCATATGTGCCCTCTCTTGAACATATTTAGACCGGCCACAATACTTTTGCCAAGTGAAACTAGACCCATTTTTTGAACCCGTTTTTAGCTACAAGCAATTTGGGAAATACTTCGCTTTCAAAACTTGTGCATAAAGGGAATCAAGAGTAGAAACAAATCTCCAGGACTGTTTTGCAAGCATTGTTATGTTATGCTCCAAATTCAAGTATAAAGAGAAAAACTAACTTCTAACGAGCGAGCGGAGCGAGGCCCGTCGCTGGTACGGATCAATATTTGACCGAGGTCACCTGTGTTATATATATCTCTTGTAAACCGCCGCATGGGATAAGTTGAATCGGTTATAAATCCCCAGAGTTTGTAACCTCCCCCATATAGTGAAGTTTGGCTGGCTGGCCCCCATGGTTTCTCCCCCTTCGTGTTGGAGGGGTTTTCCACGTTAGATCTCGTGTCTCCTGCTTGTTTTCGTTCTTCCTCGTGTTGATTTGCCTATCATATCTCTAACAAGCATTGCTAAGTTGAAAGAATGTAAATCACAAAAGTCCATACATCCATCTCTATTAGGGATGCACATCCTCCACCATGCCATCCAGTGCATACGTTTTGTATTCTCGGAATATCCCCACCAAAACTCAGCCATTGCATTAGTCATTTCCTTGCAAAGTTTCTTTGGAATATTAAACACATACATGGCAAAAACACAGATTGCTTGTATGACTACTTTCAATAAGATTTCCTTTCCTCCCATTGACAGATTTTTTCTCTCCAATTATTCAGCCTGGCAATGACCCTTTCTAACAGATGATTAAAACTATCGGTTCATGCCCGTTTGTAACGTGCTTGTTCAGAAAAGTTTGAAAAGGCCAGGAAATTTTTATTGGGAGGGTGAAAAAACCAAGGCGAGGAGATGGTGATGGAAGGTGAGACAAAAATAAACCAGACAGAATAAAACCGTGGAACGAAAGCTACCAAGTCCCCCTATACGAGTAGAGATAAACATCTTGCTCTTTCATTCGCAAAGAAAAAAACACCTCTCTATTTTTATTAACTATTTGCCGCATAAGCAAACTTGTTTTGAGGTGTGTTATGTTACTAGCTAAATTACTCCCATTATGGCCAACCTTATACAAGTTCCAACTTGTGGCATGTGAAATGTAGCAAGTTGAGAGTTTAAGGAAACAAACTGTGAATTTATCTCATCCAATCCACATGCAAACATCAATGCCTAAAAATATTTCACAAACAAATAGTCAGATACTCATCTCGTCCAATCCTTTCCTAGTCCATGACTGCATGCAATCAAATACTGAGATACTCCATCCATACTGGTGCATTAGGCACATTACGAAAACCAAATAATTCCAAAATGTTTGAGCGCGGTGCATTAACTTCCACCTTATTCCTTGTTTCTTATCACAAACAAAGGACGTGGGGCATGTATGCTTATAATGACTTGAAACTACCTAGCATGACATGTAGTGGTCAGCTCATTGCATACAATGGTATTAATTAAAAATAAACATCAAGTTCTCTCGTTTTCCCCTCCACCTTGATCCATGTGTGCACGACTGGTACAACGGTACGGATGGAGTAGTTAATTACTCATGTAGTTAATTAGGCTAGTCATAGTGGGGGTAACTTAGATAGTAACTTAATACATCCCAATACAAATTTGCTTATGTGGCAAATATTTAATGAGGAAAGAGGTGCTTGTGGTAACATAATACTCCCTCCGTCCGGGTTTATTGGGCCCGTAAGCCAAAACTCAGAGACCAAGGCAAAGCATTAAAACTAATGACGTTTGATTTCTGAGCGGGACAACAACCAATCAGATTTTAAAGTAGTTATGGCGTGTAGCCGGTTGCACGTTTCCCCTTCCTATGTACTCCCTCTGTCCGGGTTTATTAGGCCCGTAAGCCAACTAGCCGTGTATGCTTTTCTAAGGCCCCATCAGAGGAGTAGCCAATCACGTGCCACGTTTAGCGCTAGCAGCAGTTATTGCATGCAGCCGGTTTCTGCGCTTCTTCGCATGCAACTAATTACGAGAAAGTTTAACCAATCGAACGCATATCCGGTGAAGTGGGATCGAGGGGGGCTTAGAAAAGCATACGCGGCTAGTTGGCTTACGGGCCTAATAAACCCGGACGGAGGGAGTATGTTACTGTAACATAGCGTTTTCCGAGGCAAAATGAATCTGAGCCAATAAATGAAGCCATCTATGACACTAATGTTATGTTATTTTGCACAATAAAGATAGTAATTTACACTAGTGTCATATGTATGACACTAGTATAAGTTACTCCACACTATGACCAGCCTTATGTTAGTTTAATATGAAACTGAGTGTTCAAGTCATCACACAATCATTAATGCCAAAATTGCGTCCTGGTTTTCTCTCGTTCAATCTCTGCATCGCCCACAATTGCATGCAATTACTTAGCCAGACAATTAGTTTTGTGTGTATTTAATTAGGTCTATGCAATTTGAAAACGGTGCGCCGAGTCAGAATACAACCATTAATGCCTAAAATTCATCCCGGTTTCCACTTATCCAATTATGCCTTACCACGACCATATTAATTAATATGCAAGACAATTAATTAGGCGTGCAGTTAGTTTCATCCGTTTAGATAGAGATTTTTCGAGCGGTCTAATAATAAAAAGGACACTGCTTCATGGCTCGCGGCCCTATAATCACATATGGAGGGAGTAAATTCTACTAAAAAAATTCATGCACACAGGTATGTCAACCGATTAGTATCGTGTAACTGAATCAAGCTTTCTATCTAAATGATAGATAGAGCGACAACAAGGGTTTCTACGTCGCCACCCCATCTCCCTCTACTCCATGGCTGGCTCTAACAACACTTTGTTGTATCAACCACAAACACAAAGGTGGCTCTCTACAAGGACAACAATGCTAGGATGTGCAACCACACTTATTATTCATCGATGAGTAGGCGACATGACACACTAGCGTCTCCATCCACTATTGGTGTGCGACAGAACCCATGAAGACCTAGGTGGCTGGATTAGACGACGTCTGTCGAGTATCGGATCTAGAACCCAACCCCGCCTCTCATCTCGCCACCCTTCTTCGGCAGGGGCTGGTAGACACCAACATCGTCACAATATAGTCGACGCCACCACAATCGAGGACAGTCGGCCACACGTCACCACTCTTCAGATATTGTTTCATTGGTAGCAACACAAGGATATTTAGCTACTACTATATGATAAATCCTCTCTTTAATAAGAGATCAGGTCCAACTAAGAAAAAGAAAAGGGATTAGGATCCGTGTCCAATACTTACTAGAAAACGACCCAATTACAACGCTAATCAAACTTTCTTTTTGCAGGTAAGCTAATCGAACATCGACCATAGATGAGTAGGAGCTACCATGTGACACATGTGGTAAACAATTTAAACTACTCCGTATTAAAGAAAGAGATGTTTAGGATCTCCGGAGAAAAAAAGAGATGTATCAAATCCCGATTCCCATGTCATCAAAATAATAAAATCCCGATTCCACCGGGGAATCGATCGGGAGGCAGATCCGATCGCCAAACTGCAACGCTGAGCCTACCAATACGCCCCAACGCCTCCCGCTTGACCGGACTTCCAAGTCCGCTGCTGCCATGCCAATGTTTCGTCGCATGCGACCACGCACGGCCGGCGGCGAGGACCGCCTCAGTGCACTACCCGACGACCTCATCCGCCTCATAGTAGGCAGGCTGGACACCCGCACCGCACTCTCCACCGCCGTCCTGGCCAGGCGTTGGGTGCACATCCCCCGCGATCTGGCGGAGCTCGACTTTAGGGTGAGCGACGTACTCCCGCCCGAGTACGACCGGACCGTCGCCCTCCGCCGGCGCAACATGCCGCGTGACACGTTTCTGGCCGAGATGCTGGACTGTCTCATGGCGCGCTGCGAAATCGACACGATCACGGCATTCGTTGACGGCATCACTGGATTCTTGGAAGCGGACGGTGGCCCTGCTGACGGCGATGCACGTCGGCGCGCCAAGACCCTGCGTCTGGAGTTCTTCCAGACACACGACGGCGGCTGCGTAGTCGACCGCCTGATCGCCGCTGCAGTAGGCGCATGGGGAGTGGAGGATCTGGAGGTCGTTGCCAGGCAAGCGTCATGCGATGTCCTTCAGGCACCGCCCTACCGCTTTCCCCACGACCACGACTGCCTCAAGGACGGCCTTCGCAGCTTGACGCTGGGTAACTACTGCATGCTCCCGCCGCTGCATAGCTACGGCGCTCTCACCACGCTGGTCCTGCGAGACATGGCTGCTTCCACGCCCCTCGGCGTGTACCAGAGGGTGTTCACTGAGTGCACACGGCTTCAGGTGCTTCGCCTGATATCCTGCTGCTGTGCACATGACTGTGTGGTGGTGGACGCTCCGTGTTCAGAGATCAGGGAGCTCAGCCTCGACCAGTGCAAGTTCATGGAGATCGAGCTGCGCCACCTTCCAATGCTTGTCCGTCTGGCGTGCTGCCTAACCAACACTACAAAACTCGTATTCGGCTCCGTCCCTAGCCTCATGCACACTAACCTCACATTTGCGGCAGAAAGCTTGATTGTACGGAAGCGGTGCATGGATTACTTCGGCCATTACATCACCGGTATGCCCCCTACCATGACGAATCTCGTCCTCCGCTTCACCGGGCTGAGAAGATGGATGTTGCCCGCTCCACCGGCCAAGCCATTGCTCAATCTCAAAAAGCTCCTTGTCGCCGATCTGCCTGCGAACTGGGACATCACATGGCCACGCCGCCTCCTGTTGGCCGCACCATCACTCGAGGTCCTGCACATCCATGTGCCTTGCTCGGAGGAGGAGCCAAATTACGGGAGCATGAGACTGAGCTCACTCGAGGCGCTTCAGCGCCATCACCACCTCAAGGAGCTGGCCATTACTGGATTCTTGCAGCGCCACATATGGTTTTTGAAGTATGTTGTGAACGTGTGCACATCGTTGCAACGTGTTATCCTACTCCAGGATGATGGTCATGTTCGATACAATGGACTTTGGGATTGGGAGATGGTCGGGCAGCAAGCATGTCCTTGGAGCAATGATGATGAAATGGTCGTGAGGAGAATAATCCAATCTGGGTGCAAGCCTCTTGTTGAACTCAGCATGGGATGATCTTCGCGGGCTTGGCATTGCAGACTTGGAGAGAGTTGGAAGGGATATTCGGCTTCGCTGGCCAAGGTTTTGAAACGACCACACGATAGGCCTTGGGTGGGATCAAATCTTGTGATGAGGCAGATATGGAACTTTTTTGGGCCTCTATTTCAACTGTGAAACGGAAGGAAGGTGGCATGAAGCTAGATGGGTAGGGAGCCATGCAATACCTCGTCCGGATCGCCACCAAGAAGTGAAGGACGATTTATTTCAAGCTTCAGGGCGAGGCTTGGCTGCGCGCGGTGGCAAAAATTAGCACCATTGAGCAACTCCGGTAATTTGTTTATCTTTAGGGAGTGCTCGCCACCACCAACCTACATCCTGGTCATGATGATCCCACCACCTAGAATTGACGGCCAATGGTGTTTACTCGGCAGCCTTGACATATAATGTTCGACGCTTCCATGCTTTGGAACGCGCACACAGAGCCTAAATGCAAAATGTTCATCTGGCTTGTGCTTCATGGGCGCATCCTCACTGTTGATATGCTCGCGGTTCGGGGGCGGGAGCATGACCCCACATGCCAACTGTGCCTCCGTGCTCCGGAAACTGCGTCACATTTGTGCAAACCATTCTCTGTTGCGGTAACAAACCGTGTCCACTGGGGAGAGCATCTTATTGCAGTTAGGCATTCTTGGTTAGACACACTCTTCTTTTGTTGTCTTGTTGGTTAGACACTCTTCTTTTGTTTTCTTGTTGGTTAGACACTTCCTTCTTTTGTTGTCTTGTCTTAACAACGTGAGATCAATGATATGCTGGAACGGTTGCAGCAGGTACAAAAAAAACTGAATTCCACATAAATGCTTATAGGTACAAAAAGGATTTCAATATAAAACTTTGGCCACATTATCAGCCATTGTTCTTTTCTTTTTGCGGGTGAAAAAACGGTATTACTATCACAATGTTCTTACAATCCTCAAACACCCAAGTCCATAACCATGGGAGGACCTGAACCGATCCACGTCATGGTTCTACCTTCAGTTCTACCAAAACTAGCCAGACAATCACTAGCCTTATTTTGACTACGAATAACATGAGTAATACAAGTTTCTCGAAGACTTAACAAATACTTGATTTCCTTCACCAGAGATGCATAGACGGATCTGTCTTCTTCGCGCTTCTGGATCATGCCAACCTACGTGATAGCAATGGTAAGACAAACAAACGATGATTGAATTTGAATTATGAGCTGTGTCGGCGCAAAAATAAAAGAAAGATGCTAAAAAATGGCGTTGTGCTTAACGGTTGACACTAAAAATGAATTGAAAAAAGGACATGTGTGTCCATTGTGTTTGTACCTTGTTTCGTTTTACAACTAGAGAAAAAAAAATACACCCATCTAATCCAACCCTACATGTAAAGGTGAGTGTCCTAATATCCATCATCAAACCTGCAGGCAGAAAAACAAAACATAAATGAGAATAAAGAAACACTGAAAAAAACTGATATTTCAAAAAGAAAACACTGAATACTGAAGAACTGGAGATAGAGAGTAAACAGGACTAAATAAACAAGACAGAACGGTGGCTGAATAGTAAGATGACTGAAGAAACATTGAAAAATGGATTGCACACAGAGAAGAGCAGAGTGTTTATTTCTCTATTTGCAGATAGAGAAAAACAGAGTGTTTATTTCCCTATTTGCAGATGGAGAAAAACAGAGTGTTTATATTCAGACTGAAAAATATAGGATTGCAGACAGAGAAAAGCATAGGAGTGTTACAGTCTCTATTTGCTAAATAAACACAACACTTGGACTGAACATAGAAAGACATGAGCAAAGAGTGTGTTCATTTAGAGCTGAACGAGCGAACGCCCTCTAATTGATGGCAAAAGTGTGTCTACATCCATCATCAAATCTTCCTTCTCACACAGATCCAACCAATAAAAGATACAGATAAGTGTCCAATACTGAGAACGGCATAGGGACAAATACATACCCAAGAAGAAATATAGACTGGAGACTGAGGGGCAAAATAACTGATGAAAGACATACAAACGGAAAAAATACTGAGAAAATAACCAAAAATGAGAAGACATAAAAACGTGACTGATGAAACAAAATGAAGAATGAGAGACCGAGCACTGATGAAAGACAACTAGACAAGGCAAAAATAATGAAATGCAAGGCAAAGATAATGAAAGACAAGGCAAAGATGATGAAGAATTAGTGAACAAATAACTAAAGATGAGAAGACATAAAGAAGGTGAGTGTACTATATTCAGTTTATAGTCTCCTTATTGTCGTTGTTTGTCTGCAGTTTCGTATTCTCACTCATATAACTGAATGATAAAATGAAATTTAGTCTAGGTAATTTTGCCTTTAACCCAAACAAGTTGTGGTATGCTAGAGCTGAAACCCATAAGATCTCACAACCAACTCATGGTTCAGGCACATGGATAGCTAGCTTCCACGCCCCTGGACAGTTCTTTGGTGATGAAAAAAAGTAAGCCACTCTTATGGAGATGAAACCAGAAGATTCTGGAAAGTTAGATATTGCACTTTAATAGTTTTGGAACAGGGCATCTTGAAAGAGAAGGGACAAAAAATCAATCCTAATGCTACTGAGCCAAAATAGTACAATAATGCATGGCCCAACTCAAAAAGGGGGAAATAAATTTACTAAATAAATGACACGTGTATAACACTAATTAAGCATCCAAGAGGATGTCTAACTATCTTAGTTACATCAACAAGTTCCTTAGGAGGCATTGCGAAACCAACCTACGTGAGCAACTGAAACTGAGAAAACACGGATGAAACTACAGATCTGAACTCCCCAATCAACGGCATTGCAACTCCGCAAGCACAGAATCAAAACAACAGCAAATCATCCTTGATGCCATAAACATAGAGGAAATGTGGGTGCAGAAACCAACCTCCTACGGTGATGCCGGCAGCTCCTGACCGTCTCACCCGGCTCCTGCTCGCCATGTCGCATCTCTCTCCACTGCTCTTAAAAGTAAAGAGATCGGTCATGGAGACCGGAGACAAACACCCAGTAACGGGAAGAAATACAGATGGTGAGGGCCGACTTGAAGGTGCCCAGCCTGTAGGCCGGCGCCCACTCGAGGAACGGGAAAGCAATACCGGAGCGCTGTCGCTAGGCGCCGCCCGACACCTCGCCCCCGCACCACGACGCAGAACAGATCGTCTGGGAAGAAGGTCAGCTCCCGCCGTCCATCTAGCCCTCTCTCCACTGCTCTTCTATCCCTAGTGCTAAGATGCGAATGAACCAACCAAGGAAAAAAACCCAGGAAAAACAGGCGCAGAATCAAAATGGGTTGACCAATATGACGAAAGGTAGCCAGCGCTACGTTTCATTCATTAAGAGGAACCGGAAAAAGAACATTGGACACCAGAGCCAGCGTGAATCACAAAGACATATCGTGCTGCCGGAAATTCAACTGAGAGCAAAATAAGAAACAGTCAACTGAAAATTAGCAAAAATGAAAGAAAAAGAAGGCAGCTTATGTACAAAACCTGAAAACAGTGATGTTGGATAAAATCTGAATTTTGTTCGTACAGCACTGCTACAAATATACCAGCAATTCAAGGGAAAACCCCACTGCATTTCCAATTACGCAAAATGTATCGTCTAAAAAAATTTGCAGGATCATCGACTCATTGCAAGAACCCCCACACAGAGAAACAAGATCAAAACGGCGCAGTGGAAAACAGGATCATCAGTTCATTCAAGAACGAACTACCTTTTTTGACTACATGAAATGCACCATCTAAAAGAAATACATGATCACCAGTTTACTGCAAGAACCACTACATTCTCCATTTATGCAAAAATGCATCCATCAAAGAACCACTATATTCTCCATTTATGCAAAAAAAAAAAGCATCCATCAAAAAGGAATGCAGCATCATCAACTCGCTGCAAGAACATCTACAGTGTAATGCTTCATCCAGGAAACAGTACCAATGACATAACAGAGATCAATGTCAGAAGAGCGAAACTGCAAGTCAGCAACAACTACTACAACCAGCATCACCAAAATACTGTTCAACCATTGCACGCAATGATCCAAGCAGTTCTGAATCATAGAACCGCAAGACAAAATAAGATTGAAGCAAGTTTGGCTGCTGAGTTTTCTGAATACCACAGCTGCTGAGTTTTCCGAACCTGAACCTATCTATCTACATGCCAAAAGCAGGCGTTCAGTTCTGCTGTCATCGTTTCTGAGGGGCGAAAACTTTTGAAGAGGTGAACTGTCAGGACTCCGCTGTACTCTGCATTGACAAATTAATAATCAATAACAATTTGATCAAGATAAAACCTGAGGCAATAACAATTTGGCTTTGTAGGTTCTGTAATTTCTGCTAGCAGCAGATGATACTTATCTGAATGAACGACAGAAATGTGGAATCAGTACGTTTTACTTGCTGCAGAACATCTTTTGTCATGTGCAGAAAGACTCTTATATCGACATGGCACCTCCCAAGCAATTACTTTTGCTTATGTACAAGACTAATACAGTTTCAGACAAGTCTCCCAAGTCCTAACAAAACCTATCATAAAATCGTTTTCCAAGCACAATCATATGAGCACTCCACTAAAGTAAGACTCCAAATATCATGTTTATGCAGCAAATAGTATCTACACCAACATCTGTACTCTTGTGCAAAACAGATTCAAGACCACTACTACATTTTTTCTCACCGAAGAAAATAAACAATCTAATTCTCGGAGTATTGGAAAAATAAAATAACAAGACCAAGACCAAGAAATACAGCTCATGTGCATAAACTAGATTTAATTTGGTATTGTATAGGAACCGGAATTTTGTTCCCAGGTTATTCAACACAAGAAAAATGGGCTAAATCTTTTTTGTTAAGGCTGAAGAGATAAATCAACTGATTTTGTATTTTAAGTTCCATAATTTTTACTAGCTTTACAAATAAAAATATTACTGGCAGCAAATACGACCAAATAGAGGAACTGAATTATC